ATATATATATATATATATATAAACAAAATCGTATATTTCAACTGCTAATTGTGTTTAGTGTTTACATTTTCAAGAACATTATACAATTCATTTGGTCGCATTAGTCCATAGTTATTACCACGTTAAAGCACAAAATGAAAACGTTACTTTAGCGTTAGTTCAATAGAATTCTTTTGTAAACTAAAAGAACTACGTAACTATTTTCTATATTAAACATCAAAATTACTCAATGTCTTTGCTTATTTTTAAATCTTACAGTATAAATTAAAAGAAGTTGGTATATATCATTACCAATTTGTACCAACCAAACTTGTTGGTAACCAACTATATTGGTACCAAGTATACTTGGTATGGTACCGGTAACATCTTTTTGTTACCAATTATAGTTGGTACGGTACACGGTTTAGAGAAAAATGAATTGGTACTGTACCAATTCCACCCCTAATTATAAGCTGGTACGATAGAAAGACAGTGGTAAAGGGGTCGTGCCCCCTTGCAGGGTCCTAGGGGCAGCGCCTCTAGCGGGGTCCAAGGGGCAAAGCCCTTGGCGGTGGTCCCGCTAATTTAGAAGACGGAAACCCTAATCTGTCTAGTGTAAATACGGATCCTTAATTGAACCGTGATATACCCTTCTCAGCTCTCCTTCCATACGAACTCAGAACCCTCTGATGATTTGGCTTGTGTTTTTATGCCTAGATACACAAGTGTGTTCTTAGATTATCTTAGACTGGATTTCCTCTAACTCAGACATAGGGTGAAAATATCTATTCAGAAAGTGAACTTACACAATCCAAAAGAAATTCAGTTCTCCACAATCACCCTACTCAATTATCCTCCAACAAAAAATGATTTAAATATGAGCTATAATTTCTTAATTGAAATAATGTAGCAATGTAGCCATAAACAACTTTTTAACTGAAACTACGCTGACAAATAAAAATAAGATTTATGGATTGGATTACCGTTAATTGATAATGAAAAAAATACTAACTATATCGGTTAATCGGCAATTAAAAGAACTATTTACAAACTAGAACTAAATTAAATGAAGGTTAGCAATTGACAACTAAAATAAATGGAAAATGTCTTATCATGGTAATTATTTTTTCGTTTTGTTCACATTTAGACATTTTTTGTATACATTTGAGGATTTGACCATTTAACTTATTAAATGTGTTAACATATTACTATTGTTGTCAACTATCTCATGTGATAATGGTAACAAGTGAAAAAATTTAACATGTTAAATAACCAAATGTCTAAAAAAAAGAAGTTGTCTAAATGTGACTACTTTTTTTTTGACAAAATTCGTAAGACTCTTTCTAATTTATTACAACATTTTTAAGATATTTTTTTTTTCTCATCGGTTTTTCTAATATAATGTTTTAAACTTCTTTTATAATTTTATTAACCCTCATTTATACTTTCATAACGTTTTCATAGAACTTTTTTACAAATTTCATAAACTCTTTCGAAACATTCTTTTACAACATTTTTAGAACATCTGTAACAATCCAAATCAGGTATGACCTTGTAGCCCTTGAAGTATCTCAAATATAACATAAGAAGCCATTAAGTATGTTGGGCGTATTTATGAGTACGCTTAGCGTACATGGAAAGGAGGATCGCGGAGGGGCAGCACGTACGCTGGGTGTACGTGCTGGATGTCCGAACCCTAAAATCCGGACTTGAGACCTATATTGTAACGACGTAAATTTTCAAACCAAAATTTTCATTTTAAAACCACATAATTCTCATAACATATCTCACAAAAATCCCATTTATTTAATTTACAAACGCAACTCCATAATTGTTTGATTAATAATCCAGGATCCTCAAAACATAAATTTTTCTCTGGGGTGTACAATCGAACAGGCGCCTTCCTGCGATCCTGAGAAGAACCTGAAACACATATCACATAACACGGTAAGCACGAAGCTTAGTGAGTTCCACAAAATACCACACATATCTCATTAGCCTCTCATGGCTATACTCAGATAAGACTATCCGGTCAATGTGTCTCAGTGGGACCCTCCGGTCCCACAACTCAGGTGGACCCTCCGGTCTTAACTCAGCAAGCTCAGAATAATACACAGCATAAATCACATAGACATAACGCAGGATATCACAATTCTCAATATAAGCACATAAGATACCTCAGTCACGCAAAGATACCACTCATGGTAAGTATAGTGAGAAGACTCACCTTGGATGATGAACAGCTCCTAGAGATGCTGTTGCTGCACACCGGCCTCTAACACTGGACCAAGATTCATAATTACCCAATTAAGATCTAAGTCCAAACCCTCACTCTTTGGGTCTAAAGGTAGTCCACTAACTAGCCCATCATTAACCTAAAACTCATTGGACTCACCAAGGCCCAATAATCAATGGGCTCTCCCGAGGCCCAACTCTCAAGTCCAAGTGACTAACCCAACTCAAGGGCCCAAGG